GCCCGGAGCTTTGAGAGAATGACTACTGCCCTTCACAGAAAGTGTCCCGCTGGAACCTTCCCACTGTCACCCCAGCCGGGAACTGTGACCTTCCTCTCTGGGGTGGTCTTTACAGGCTCTCCCCGACCCCTGCCCCTTCTCCACGCCCTGTCCCTACGTCCAGAGCCTCCTTTCTCTGTGCCTGATGCTCCGGACACCAGGGCACCAGCATTTCCACCGGCCCCACACACAAGCTCTTTAACCCCATGTATGCTGGTCTTCTCCTCTCAAGGAACACCAGCTTCAACCGCTTCTAAACACTTGATACCTTTCTCCTCATGCCTCTCATTGTTCAAAGCCTTCTCCTTGGGGTGTTGCTCCCCACGAAGCCTGGGCTGGCAGCATCCTTGCCCGGCTCAACTTGTTCCTTAGCTCTCGGGACTCCTGGCTGAGTAGACCGGATTAGGTTTACCTTCCGGCTTTGACAACTGCAACAACAGAATGTCTTCCTTTCTGGAAAACTCTCTCCACATGTGGGTGCTTCTAAGGAGAGGAGGGAAGGAAGTGTTTTCCTGAGCCTTTGTGCACTTGGGACTGGGGAACCCTGCAGGCGTGGGAGGGAGGTCCCTGCCAGGACCGTGACAGTGACAGAGGTGGGGACGTCTTCCAAGTGGAGAAAGCGGGCAATCATCACGGGCTAGCAGAGTCTTCCCCCTGCAGATCCGGACATCCAAGGATGGCACGAGCCATTCAAATGCTCCGGTTTCAACCGGATTTCACACTTCTCGGAACAATTTTCCTTTTAAACATCATTCGCGTTATTCCCACCCCCGATACTCAGAGAAAAAAACCAGAAATGGAAAGTGAGTGCACAGCGAATGGATAAGACTCTGGCCCAGTTACAAGCTGTCCCATAAAATGAGCCAAAAGGAGACTGTCGAATTTATCAGATGTCCTCCTGATCCTAGAAAGGGGGAATGTGCTTTGCATGTTGGCAGCCTAGTCAACCTGTCCGATAATAAAAGCTGCCAGAGAGGCTATTAAAAATTCTTCTAGCCAAAACATATCCCATTTAGCACCCAGGTAATAGGAGAAACAGGCTTGCAGACAATCAAGATTTGATTGCAGATTCATCCTGTCTTTTACAAGCCATGTTGCTTAATTATAAATCTGCATTTAAGTAGTCACGTCGGGCTGACGACTAACTTCTATTTCAGAAAGGACATACCCACATGTCAACCTCTACATAACTGGGTCCCTTTTACTGGAGCTTGGCAATTTGTCACCTTAGTGTGGTTATCACATAACCGCAGACTCGTTCAGTTACAAATGCCTGTAAGAAAGCTTGGGGCCTCACTCACTCGTAAAAATGGAAAAAAAAAAAAAAAGGAACTACAACATGCTGTTCACTTAACTGTATTATAATTTCGAACCATCCATACGAAGCTTCATAATCTTTGAGGCGATTCGTCATTGTGCATTTGCTTTCTGAACTTTGATTATTCAAAGTGATGCTTTCCTAAAGGTTTACTTGTGTTCTCTAAGCTAAAAGTATAAAGCGAGGACATTGGACTAGAAACCCTCACTCCTCTTTATTTACAAATCTCTTAAAATAGAGCAAAGCCGGAACAGTCAGGTGAGGGCAGCTTCCTGCAACATAGAGACACGTAGCCGGCACTTTCTCTAACTGCCCCCTGCGCCTATCTCACCCCCACACCTGGAGTGTCCGCTGGACCCCTGCCTTGCAGAGATAAGCGCTCCCGAACTCACACCGGGGTAAAGATACCCCTTTCCTGAGGAGCCAGTTGTTTGGAATCTGAATCCATGATCTTGCAAAAAGAAAGAGCATTCTATTTAATTAGATTCTCAAGCCAGCTCATAAAAAGTCCATCTGATACATAATATGCCCCAAACCTAGTGACGATCATGGTCGGAATCATTCTGACTACAACTACGGCCTTTATGGTGTGGATGCCATGGGCACTGCACAGCGGGTCCCGCTGGATGCAGCAACTCCCCTGTCCCGTGGCGGAGAGCGCCGCCTGGCCATCCCAGGTGGGAGGGAAGCCGCAACTCGCCAAGGGGGCGTGACGGGCAGGCCTGCTGCCTGCACTGCTAAGCCAGCTCCCACCCACACTGGCGGCAGGTAGAAAACAGGCCCACCAATCAATCCTTGCCAGATTGAATTCTGCTAATTGCTTTGTTCAATGAGCATTTGCAAGAACCTACTCGGGATGTAAGACCGGCAGGGCAGACATGAATGGACATACACTGCTCTCAGCAAGTGAGACCCCCGGGGGGAAAGTCAGGCCAACGAGAAACCGTGATGCAGGGCAGCGCCTAGGCGCAACCCAGCAAAGCCTGGCCTAAGTCCAGGAGGCCTTCACCCTCCAAGGATGAGGGACAGCCTCCCCGGGCTCCAGTAGAGTGGAATAAGGGCCGACGCACAATAATACGAGCACCACAATGGGAGGGGCACATCCGCATTCAGAGAAAGCACGAAACACTCATGACAGGTGTAGGTCTCTTGTTTATGTATTCAAAATCAGGGGACAAAATTTGTAGGTATGGGGGTGCTTGTTGCTTTCTGAGAGCCTTTGAAAATTCATAAAATGGCCAGAGCAAAAATAACGTAGGGATCAGCTGTGGCCCACTGAGAAGCCGAGGCCAGGGTGAGGCTGCTTCCTTCTAAGACACCCCTTGGGCTATGCACACGTTTTCATATTGTATAAGGAGTCTTCACATACGCCGCCACTTTTGAGCTTCCCAAGCCCTCAGAGAAGTGAAACAGGATTTTCTGATGAGAAGAGAGCGGTAGAGCCGTCTAGAGAGGATGACCCCGGGCCTGGCAGGCCGCAGCCAATGAACAAGAAACCAAGTCTTGAGCTTAATGACCCAATGCATTTCCACCATAGCGAGCTGCTTCCAACGCAAATCGACATGTCCAAATGTTTTTTCTTACACTACGCGCTGACCTCAAAACAAAGGCAGCTCAACCACAAAAATAATTCTAACAGGGCTGACCCAGCAGGGACTAAATTCTTCACTTTTCGGAGTGCAGAAACTCTTCCAGACACCACACTATCACAACGACGAGATGCTATGTAATTTAATACTCCAGAGGCAAGGAACAAACACACCTCCCGATCACAGCAACTGTCAGACTAGGTCACATCTGATTATCCGCAGAACCAGTCCGAAAATCACATGCATGTGCCCCTTTCCATTAGAAGCTCACGGCATGTCAGCGTTAGGAATCCTTGGAAGAAGAAACAAGGTCGTTCACATACAGTCCACTGGGGCTTCTAGGGCTTTTCCCCCTTGGTTCTTACTTTAAAACTATCTTCACACCAACTTGGAAATTAAAGTTCACTGCCTCATTCTCCCTACCCACATGACCTGGCCTTGGAGGTGAGCTTGCTTGTTCCGTGTCCCTAATAAGGCTGAAGTGACAGATAAAGCAAACGTCTACCCCGCACACAGAAACTATGCCTTTCTTTGGAATATCCATGGAACATGGGAAAGACTGACTGACTCAATATTAAGCCACCAAAACCAGAGATAAAAACAGGGGTCCTTAAATTCAAAACCAGCAGAAATCATACAGGTCACATCCTCTCTCAGAGCAGTGCAACAAAATTAGTACAAAATGTTCAACAGGGACACCAGTCACTTGGAAGGCGAGACACTCATGCTACTTTCCTTTAAGAATACGTGCAGGGATGTGGGAGAGGAAAAGGAGAAGAGAGAATTGGGGGTGTTTAAAATCTGTTTACACTAAGTCAAGAAACAGTTGATTTTTTTTTTAAAGATTACTTAAAGAATATTTGTCATACAAACACAGATGCTCATAGCATGCAGGAAAAAGAGTGTTGGCTATCAATCATGAAACAGCAAGATGTTTTGGCAAAAACAGTTTCCTTCTCTATACTCTAATTCCACCTTTTAGGATGAGGAGGACAATCTCCAACTTTCTTTTTTGTATTCTGGTACAAAAATCAGCTTCACAAGCAGATCCATAGTTGTCTTGCTCCATACTGAGGACCTTAGCCTTTAGCAGCTCCTCAGCAAATAGTTGCAAAATGAATAAGTAATATATATATTATACACATTTATATATACATATATATGTGTGTATACACACACACACACACACACCCATACACAAACACACTTTAAGGGATTGGCTAATTGATGACTTTACCTAGACACAATGGAATATTACATAGACATTTACAACGAAGCAGAAACACATTTATTTCACACGGCAAGATTTTTCATTACCCAATAGTCAACGAAGCAGAAGCCGATTACAAAGTGACTTCTATGGAAGAAACATGCCTTTCCTCTGCTCTCTCTCATTCTCTCTCTTACACACACAATGCTTAAAAATCTGTTTGCAAGTCTGATAGGCATGAGCTAGGACAAACTATTTTGTGATTATGGGATGTCTCTCACTATATGTCTAAGATCTGAGAAAAGAGAGAAAACACATTTTCTCTACTGTCAGTTAATTTGCTTTTGTCTCAAAGTTGTCCAGAAGTGTCTCGTCCCCCCATCTGGCCCCTGGGTGACAGGGACCTCTCCCATCCAGCCACTTCTCCAGACTGTCCCTGTCCTGGGTAATGACAGTTCCAGACCTGACCTACCCGGCAAGCTATCTGCTTGATATTCAAATCAGCATGGAAACAGCAAGAACCTTCATTCATGCCACTCTGCACTTGTCACCTGCAACTTCAGTGTCCGTCAAAGAATAACATTTCTCACAGTTCAGCTGTCCAGATTTATACTCCACAGAACGGAGCCCCTATAAAGGGATGAATCTCTCAGTGAAACCGAGACAAGAACCTGCCACTTAGCAGTAGCCACATTCGTCTGACTTTCAAAGCACTGAACATACACCTAACTTTGCGCCACAAAGTAATAACTCACCCCAAATGGCTAGTTTGTAGGGCAACAGAAGTAAACACTTAAAAAATATTTCGGTCTGGAAAAAGGAGCGAATCAAACCTTCTATTTACCTGTGATGGCAACGTCTTCCTTCCGAGCTGGTCTCACCGCCAACGGTTCCTCGCGGAGGCAGGGCCCTTCCCTGCAGCCTTGGCAGTAAGAAGGTAAAGGAGGAAATGATTACGATATGTCCTCTGGATTCTCCCCAGCTCTCCACCACCTTGGAAGAGGAAAGTCACCGTGACCCTACTTCAGCAGGAATGGAAGACCCGGTGCCCCCTGCCCTGCCGGGCCCCCCGCCCCGCTCCCGCCCAGCGCACCCTTTCCCGAGCGGCCCCGAGAGAGGAGGGGGCTCCCTGGTTTGAGGAGGGGTAGCTGGGGTGGGGGTGGCCGCGCAGCCCCTAAGGGCCCAGAGCAACCCGCAAATCCGACACATTACACAGCCGCGGACTTTTCTTAGAAAGACGTTTGACACTGACATTTGGGGCACGCCGTCCCTCCTTTAAACTTAAGAAGGCGAGGGAAACACTGGCCCGCGGAACTGTCGGTCTGGGGTGGGCGTGAGGGCAGAACCCGGCCTCCGGAGCGCCGCCGGCACCGCCCTGTGCCCCCGGGCCCGCGCGGCCGGGACGCGGGAGACCCGGGCGCGGACGCCGCGCGGGACCCGCAGAGCCGGGCTGCGGAGAAGCGTGGCGCCGCTGCCCTGGGCTCGGCCGGGCGGCGCGCTGCGCCCGGGCGCAAAGTGCGGCAGTTCCTCAACGCTGCCCCGCCGGCGAGATTCTCCCGTCCGGCCGCAGCCGCCGGGCGCGCAGCCCCGGGGTCCGTCTGTCCGGGCCTCCGGCTACCCGGCCTCGGGGATCCCCAGTGGTCTCGGGAAACGCCCCCGTCGGTGACGCCCCAAATCGACCGGGCCGAGGGAAGGGCGCGCCCCAGGCCCCAGCCCGCTGGGCCTTCCCTCCGGGCGACAACCTGCGGACCCAGCGTCTCCGAGGCCCCTGGCGCTCGGAAGGAGGCCGAGCAGGGGGCGACCCCCTGGGCCCGGGGATTCCCCCGCGCCAGACCCAGCGCGCTCGGCCCGCGCCCCCGGGCCCCGCGCATGCGCCGCCCGGCCCCTCCCCTGGCCGCCGCCGCTCCGGGTCCCGAGAAGTGGAGGCCCGGCTCTCGGACCCCCGCGAGCGCCCGCCCGCCCCCGGCACCTGGGGCCGATCCGCCGCCTGCGGCCCGCCGGGCGAGCGCGCCGAGGGAGGCAGCGCCGGGCAGGGCGCTAGCTGCCGCCGCCTCCGCCCCCGCCGCCCGCTGCCCCCGCCGTGGGGCCGCCGCGTCCCCTGCCCATGCCCCGGCGCCGCCTCCCCGCGCCCGTGCCAGCCGCGCCCCCCGCGGCACGCGCCGCCCCTCTGCCCCCCGCCCCGGCCCGGCTGCGCGGGCGGCTCGCGCGGGTGGCCGCCGGAAGCCCCGCCCCGCCCCGGGCCCCCGGCCTGGCCCCGGGCGGGACACACCCCCTGGCGGCGGCGCCCGATTGGCTGCCCGCGGGGCCGGGGCGGGGCCGCGGCCTCGGAGGCTCCCGCCTCGTGCCCGGCTGCCGCTGCACCGGGGGGGAAACTGAGGCCGAGAGGCGGAGGGCCTGCGGAGGTCACCGGGCGGGCGGGTAGAGAGCCACGGCGGGGCGGCGCGCGCAGCTGGGCGTCGGCGCGCGTCCAGCCCCGCGCACCGGGAGGGGCTGCCGTCGGGGCGGGGGCGGGCGCGAGGCCGCGGGACCCTGGAGGTTCCCGCCCGGCGCCCGGGCCACGCAGGCAAGGCCCCTCCTCCCTGGGGAGCCCTGCTCGGCCGGCCTGCGGCGAGCGGGTCTAGACCCGGGCCGAGGTGCGAGTGCCCTCGTGGTCGCGGGGTGCGCGGGGTGGGGGGCGGTCGGGGCAGAACCAGTCGCAAGCACCCCAGCATCCAAAAGAAGGAGAAAGAGAACACTAGCTGAGAGGACGCGTCAACAGGTGGCCGAGGTGCCCGGGCGGGCGCCGCGGGCGGGGACCCAGAAGGGTGAAGGGCAGCGGGGACAGCGTGGGCACCCGCTGCCAACTCCGACCACCCGCCCCACACCCACACCCCTACCCCGGCTGCGGGCGAGCCGTGCCCCCTCCCGCCGTGCGTCAGGGTGAGGGGCTGACTTTGTGCCCGGCCAAGGCTCTGGGCCTCTGCCAGCGCAGGGGGAGGTCGCGGCCCAGCAGCCAATGACAAGGAGGAGGGGAGAGAGCTGCAAAGCCGCTCTGTTTGCGCGGCGACGCACGGAATGCACAAAGCCCCCGGTGCCGGCGCATGGGGACACCCCTCCCTTGGGAACGAAATGTGTGCTATGCCAGCCTTCCTCCCTGCCCTCCCGCTGCTCCTGCCACTGTTCTATTTGTAGCGGCGAGCGCCCAGGAGGACCTGCTCAGGGCAGGAAACGCAGCTCTAAACAAATCCCCTTACTACGCAGAGACTCTGGAGCCCAGGCCGTACCTGGCCCTTTCACCCTTGTGGATTGGCGCCTACCTGTGGTGAACTTTGCCCTTCCCTGCAGACACCCACAGAACCTTCCCACTCGCACACGACAAGCCCAACTTTTATTGCACATCCTAGCAATAACCAATATTTGGATTATGCTCCAGTTTTCAAGGTGATCCATGCACATTGTATGCTGGATATGGCACAGGCTGGGCAGGCTGAACAGCACGCCTTACTCCCGCAGCTAGGATCCATATACCGTGCTGGGCATCGGGATAGAGTGGCGGAGGAGGTACCGAGCTCACGTCAAAGATGTCATCTGACATACTCCAGACCCCGGGCTGTGAACAACCAGGAGTCCAAATGCAGGGCTGTTGGTTTCTTTTCCTGCATGCGCCGTGATGGTCTGCCATAAACCCAGTTCAACCAGGCGGTTGGAAAGACCCGGTAAAAATTGTCTCGAATGAGGGGCGCCTGGGTGGCTCAGTCGGTTGAGCGGCTGCCTTCGGCTCAGGTCATGATCCTGGAGTCCCCGGATCGAGTCCCGCATCGGGCTCCCCGCTCAGCGGGGAGTCTGCTTCTCCCTCTGACCCTCCCCCCTCTCATGCTCTCTGTCTCATTCTCTCTCTCAAATAAATAAATAAATAAAATCTTTAAAAAAGAAAATTGTCTCGAATGAGGACAGAGGAAGCTGTATAGGGTTCAACAGAGTAGTGTAGACACTTAGCAGACAGAGAGAAATGATATTCTTGGATTCTTGGGGCTCTCGAGGTTTTAGGGAGAGAAAATTTGTTTTTCATGCCTGTGTCCAAAGTTGTCACTTTTGAACAAATGCTTTCAGCCCGCCGTACCCTCCCACCCCCGTCCAGGTAGAGAGGAGAAGGATGCTCGGGACACCTGGGAGTATCCATGAGAGCACCACGCATGCTGCCCTTGGGGTGGGGGCGCGTGGGTTCCTGTTTGCCGTGAAGAACCTGTCACACACCCAGCATAGGAGAAACTGTCACAAAGAACACCCCGCACCCCAGCTCCTGGGAAGTCTCTCCCTCGCTCTCTCCTTACCTGCAGCGTTGATGGAACGTGGGCAATGCCACAGAACAGAGACAGCCTCCTGTGCGGGGCTGAGCAGGATCTATAACGTCGGGGACAAACTAATGCTCTTGACAATGTGTCTGACCACCTGGATCATTCTGGAGCCTTAATAAATACTAGGAGCCTTTGGGAGTACGTGTATCTTAGTCCAAAGCTTCCATCTATTTGGGGCTGATGCTGTTTCAGCGTTTCTAACCACGTTTTCTAATCTTGAAGATGTTCAGAGACATGATTATTATGGTGCCCACGTTACGATCGGGAAACCGAGGCACAGAGAGGCCGCTTGCGGCACCAGGTCACAGAGGCCGGTTGCAGAGCCCAGGCTAGGAGGGGGGGTCTGTGGCACTCACATGTGCTGAGCCGCTCCTGGATGCACCAACTCGCCCACTCTCACCGGAGCTACCGAGGCTCTGCCCTTGGCCTCTGGGGGAGAATCGGGATGCTGGGATGTTCAGAGAGGAGGGGGTAGCTGGAGGGTCTCCTGCCACTAGACACTAGGCTGTGGGTTAGACAATGAACTTGTAAGAAGGGTATGTCTGCCATCTGTGTTCAGAAAGAAGGTGAAACCTGACCACCGGCCCGAGCCCTGCGGGGGAGGGAGCAGGTCCCACGGGGCTGGGGGGCCAGGCCAGAGTCTGTCTGTTTGCCCCCCAGCTTAGGTAAGCCATTTTCCAGGAACCAACGCCTCTACAGGTCACTTGTTTGCCCTTTGCTGATCTGCAAAGCCTCTGATGAGATGGATTTTGTGCTCCCAGGGTGTCATCAGCCAGGGCAGTGGCCTCTGATCTCCTGGAAGCCTGCCCTCAGGTCAGGTGGTGGATATCGATGGGGGCAGGGAGTACAGGCTGAGCAACGGAGAGGAGGCTGTTGGCAAAGATGGAGCTGCCCTGTGGCCCATGGCTGGCCCTCGGTGGGGGCCGACAAAGGGTATGTGCGTGGCTGCCATCCTAGCAACGACAGCAGAACCTCATGGGCCCAGATAACAAAGTCTTGTCACATTAGGGCATGGAGCTCACAACAGTCTTGCAAGGCAGCTGGGTTCATCCCCATTTCACAGATGAGGAAACTGAGGGCCAGAAATGACATTATTCGGCTGAGACGTCCAAGAGGGAGCAAGAACCAGGCTGTCAGAGTCTGGATCCATCTCGCCACCTGCACGAGCCCCAGGGTAACCCCAGAGGTCTGGTCCAGAAGCCGGTGCTCCCCTGGCCTGCTACCCCGGTGGTGTCTGGCAGGCACAGGCATACGGTGTCAAGGATCAGTCTTGGCCCCGGCAGTGTGGGTTGGCAGCAGCACGTGCAGAAGCCGTGGCAGGAGCGAGGGGCCGAGTTCAAGGGGAGAGGTGGAAATGGTGCAAGGTGGGCAGAGGTGGCCGAGTGGGGAATTAGGCTTGATTCCATCAGATTGGTAAAAAATAAGTAATGATGCATGCTAACCGATTGTTATTACTGAAGCAGAGGTGGTGGTGGTGGTGGGTAAAGCTAGTCACTCACATGAGGCCTGCAGGTTCTGGAACCTTCTGTAGGCCCAGCCACTGCTGCTGTCCTAGACATTCTACCTCTTTGATAATTAACCTGAGATAACCAACCATGCCTGAGAAGCCCACGACAGCCCACCCGTAGCAAGGCTGGCCCTCTCCTCCCTTTCCAAGAGTAAGATATCCTTCCCAGTGGTACGCACTATTCCATCCCCGGGGGGCTTAAGCTCCTTAGGACAGGGGCTGCATCACTGACGTCTTTTGTCCAGTTTAGGGCACGGGCTTGGAGCTTCAGGACCCATGTGACCCAGTAGGTGAGAGCCTCACCGTAAAGCATGATGTAGAGATGCATTTGGTCAATAAGGATAGTCCACTCTGCTGGAGATGGGGTTCGCAATTATCTGACCCAGGTAGGGATCCCAACTGTGAACTGTACTCTCGCTGGGAGGCACAGTCCCGGGGCCAAGAACATGCAAGAACAGCATGTTCACCCACAAATGCATAGTAAATACAGATATATAGGCCCATCACTGCCTCTGCCTGGGACACCCCCAGTTTCCCTCATGAAACTAGTAGACAGAACCTGGGATTAGGAATCAAGCAGACGTAGAGTCTAAACCTGGCTCTACCTTTGACTCATACTATAGAACCTTGGACAAATGACCTTTTGACTGAACTTCCTCATCTATAAAATGGGGCAGTGGTGCTTATCTCCATGGGCCCTGGGGAGAGAATTAGCAGGGAGCATGTAGGAAGTGCAGGGACAGGACCTGATAGGTAGGTCATAGTCGAGATTTGGTGACCACCTGCCCGAGGGCTCTGCCAAGGGTCACCTCCCAAGTAGTCTGCAGGCCCTCGGCCCTGGCTGTGAGCCTCCGGAGAGAGC